TGAGGCGCACGGGAGCCCGCCGGCCTCTGTGTGCCTGTGACTGTCCGCGACACTCGGGCCCGGTCTCCCCGCGATGGCTCTCCCCACGGCTCCCGGCAGCCCTCTCCCCGCCGTAGCCCGAGGGCGAGGACGGCGAAAGAGGCTCGTTTGGACTCCGAGCCAAAGCGATGTCCTGCGAGCGTCCTTTGAGCGGAACCCGTACCCGGGCATGGCCACCAGACAACAGCTGGCCCAGGCCATCGGCGTTCCGGAGCCCAGGGTCCAGATCTGGTTTCAGAATGAGAGATCGCGCCGCCTGAGGCAGCACCGGCGGGAATCCAGGCCCTGGCCTGGGCCAAGCGGCCCCCGAGAAGGCCGGCGAAAGCGGACCGCCATCACCCAATCCCAGACCGCCGTGCTCCTCCGAGCCTTCGAGCAAGAGCGCTTTCCGGACTTCGCCACCAGGGAGGAGCTGGCCAGAGAGACGGGCCTCCCGGAGTCCAGGGTTCAGATTTGGTTTCAGAACCGAAGGGCCAGGCATCCAGGCCCGGCTGGCGGGGGACCCGCGCACGCAGGCGGCCTGGGCAACGCGGCCCCTGGCAGGTGCCGCTCTCCTCCCTCCTGGGTCGCCTCCACCCACACCGGGGCGTGGGGGGCGGCGCTTCCCGCACCCCACGTGCCCTGCGGGCCTGGGGCTCTTCCACAGGGCCCGGTCGCGAGCCAGGCAGTAAGAGCCGTGCCCCTGCTCCTGCAAGCACAGGCGGCACAGACAGAAGGAACCTGGCAACCTTCCCCGGCACTCGGGGCTTTCGGGTTCGCCGCCCCGGCTCCTCCGGAAGTGGCGCTCCCCCACCCTCAGAGCCTTCGGGGGCCTCCGCACCCGAGCGCGTGCCAGGAGGAGCGGGACGGGCAGCACGCCGGCCTGCCGGGGACGTGCTCCGTGGGACAGCTTGGGCCCGCTCCAGCCGACTCGCAGGGGCAAGGTGCGCTCGTGCCACACAGGGCCCACCAGGGTCCTTGGTGGGGCTGGGGCCAGGGGCCCCAGGTGGCCTGGGCGACAGGGGAACCCCAAGCCGGGCCACCTCCGCCGCCGAAGCCCGCACCTCCGGAGGCCTCCGCCTGGCAGGGGCAGATGCACGCCCTGCAGGCGCTTTCCCAAGCGCTCCAGGAGCAGGAGGAGCGCTCGTCTGCGCTCACCTCCAGCCTGCTGGATGAGCTCCTGTCGACCCCGGAGTTGCAGCAACAGACACGACCTTTCCTAGAGACGGAGCCACCTGGGGAGCTGAAGGAGGTGGAAGAGCTGGCTTGGCTGGAACCACCAATGATCCAGGAGGAATACCGGGCTCTGCTGGAGGAGCTTTAAAAGGTGCGCGCGCGCGCGCGCGGGTTGGGGAGGGGTGGGGGCAGGGCGGTGGCC